ACATAATAAAAAATTGTCTATAAACTGATATCTAATATTATACCTAACAGTGAATTACCAGAAGCATTTTTATTAAAGTCAGGAACAAAACAAGGATGCCTATTCAAACTATCATTCTTTTGCTATGATTATGAAATGATTGGCTTATGTTAAAAATATTTTGTTCTATTCAGGCCATATAATTAATATATTAAGAAATTAGATGACAATATAGATTCCAGAGAAGTGGAATCTATATAAAAGAATCACATATTAGTTTTATAACTAAAACTACAATAACTCAAGAACTTAATGGGCTGGGCGTGGTGGCTTATGCGTGTATTCCAGCAGTTTGGGAGTCTGAGGTGGGAAGATCGCTTGAGGCCAGGAGTTCAAGGCCAGCCTGAGCAGCATAGTGACACCCTATCTCTCTCAAAAAAAGTTAACAATTGGCTGGATGTGATGTTACATGCCTGTAGTCCTAACTGCTCAGGTGGCTCAGGCCGAAGGATTGCTCATGCCACTGAACTCCAGCCTGGGCAACAGAGTGAGACCCTGTCTCACAAAGAAAACAATACAAAAGAATGTAATGGATGTGTATAACAGCATATTAAACATAAAAGAAAGAGGTTCGATGAGGATGGGTTAGAAGAAAATATCCAGACTGAACTGAGGAAAACAGGATAGAAGATACAGAGAAGAATATAAAATATATGAGGGAATGGTGAGAACACATAATGTACAAATAATTGGAACCACAGAAGGAGAGGTAGGAGAGAATTAGGCAGATGCAGTATTCCAAGATAATTCTCTCAAACTGACAAAAGTTACCATCAAGCTAAGATTCAGGAATAGCTCCAAGCTCCAAGTTCCAAACAGGATATATACAAAGAATCTCAAACCAAGATACATCATAGTGAAAGAAGTGACAAAGAAAAATAAAAGCAGCAAGAAAGAAAAGATGTATTACCTTTTAGGTAGCAGTAATATTGAAAGTAATACTATCCAGAGGAAAATAAGTCATGTATGAAAAAGACATTTGCACATGCATGTTTGTTTATAACAATACAATTCACAATTGCAAAAATACGGAACCCGCCTAAATGTCCGTTAACCAACGAGTGGATAAAAAATGTGATATACATAGATATATATACACACACCATGGACTACTACTCAGCCATAAAAAGGAAAAAATAATGGCATTCACAGCAGCCTCGATGGAGCTGGAGACCATTATTCTAAGAGAAGTAACTCAGGAATGGAAAATCAAATATTGTATTTTCTCACTTACAAGTCAGAGCTAAACTATGAGGATACAAAAGCATAAGAATACTATAATGGATTTTGAGGACTTGAGAGGAAGGGTGGAAGGGGGGGTGAAACATAAAAGACTACATACCAGGTACAGTGTACACTGCTCTGGTGATGGGTGCACCAAAATCTAGTAAACTACCACTAAAGAACTTATCCATGTAACCAAAAACCACCTGTTCCCCAAAATGATGGAAATAAAATTTTTTAAAAACCTCTAACTTCTCAATGAAAACAATGGAAGTTAAAAGAAAAGGTATGTGAGCTTCAAAAATTCAGGAAGAAAATAACTGGCAAGAATTCTATAGCCAGTAAAAATATTCTTTAAAAACAAAGGTTAAATCAAGACAACTTTTAGACTACAAACGAGAGAATTTATCATCAGCAGATTTAACGAGAGTCCTTCAGGAAAAAGGACAATGATTCAGTTTGGAAGAAGAAAAACAAGAAGGAATGAAGATCAATAAGAAAACTGTAAATTTGTGGGTAAATCCAAACTAATATTGACTGTTGTGATGGCTGATTTTATGTATCAACTTGGTGGGATGAGAGGATGCCCAGATAGCTGATAAAACATTATTTCTGACTCTGTATATAAGGGTGTTTCTGGACGAGATTAGTATTGGAATTGGTAGACTGAGTAAAGACAACCGTCCTTACCAATGTGGGTGAGCATCATCCAATCTGTTGAGGGCCTCAGTAGAACAAAAAGGTGGAGGAGGAACAAATTTGTTTCTGTTAGAACAGGGACATCTGTCTCTCCTGCCACTGGACCTCAGGGATTGTGGTTCTCAAGGCCTTTGGACTTGGATTGGAACTCATGATACCAACTCCCCTGGTTCTCAGGCCTTTGAACTTGAACTCAATTACATGACCAGCTTTCCTGATTCTCCAGCTTGTAGACAGCAGATTGTGGGGCCTCTTGGCTTTCCTGTAATAAATCTCCACACACACACACACACATTTGCACATATATAAGAATATAGATATATATCTATATATATATCTATATATATAATACAGTTGTATTAGAATATATATATCTATATATAGATATATATCTACGTAGATATCTATATATGTATTAAACAAGAATAACATCTTTCATGTTTGATGTGTGTGTGTGTGTGTGTGTGTGTGTGTGTGTATATATATATATAAGCTTTTACTTTGCAGAATCACCATGGCGGCTGGGACCCTGTATACCTATCCTGAAAACTGGAGGGCCTTCAAGGCTCTCATCCCTGCTCAGTACAGCGGGGCTCAGGTCCGCGTGCTCTTCGCAGCACCCCACTTCCATTTTGGCCAAACCAACCGCACCCCTGAATGTCTCCGCAAATTTCCTGCCAGCAAGGTTCTGGGTGAGGATGGATTCTGTGTGTTTGAGAGCAGCGCCATTGCCTACTATGTGAGCAATGAGGCGCTGCGGAGAAGTACTCCAGAGGCAGCAGCCCAGGTGGTGCAGTGGGTGAGCTTTGCTGATTCCGATAAAGTGCCCCCAGCCAGTACCTGGGTATTCCCCACCTTGGGCATCATGCACCACAACAAACAGGCCACTGAGAATGCAAAGGAGGAAGTGAGGCGAATTTTGGGGCTGCTGGATGCTCACTTGAAGACGAGGACTTTTCTGGTGGGCGAACGAGTGACATTGGCTGACATCACAGTTGTCTGCACCCTGTTGTGTCTCTATAGGCAGGTCCTAGAGCCTTCTTTCCGCCAGGCCTCTCCCAATACCAACCACTGGTTCCTCACCTGTATTAATCAACCCCACTTCCGGGCTGTCTTGGGGGAAGTGAAGCTGTGTGAGAGGATGGCCCAGTTTGATGCTAAAACGTTTGCAGAGACCCAGCCTAAAAAAGATACACCGCGGAAAGAGAAGGGTTTACAGGAAGAGAAGCAGAAGCCCCAGGCTGAGCGGAAGGAGGAGAAAAAGGCGGCTGCCCCTGCTCCTGAGGAGGAGATGGATGAATGTAAGCAGGCGCTGGCTGCTGAGCCCAAGGCCAAGGACCCCTTCGCTCACTTGCCCAAGAGTACCTTTGTGTTGGATGAATTTAAACGCAAGTACTCCAATGAGCACACACTCTCTGTGGCACTGCCATATTTCTGGGAGCACTTTGATAAGGACAGCTGGTCCCTGTGGTACTCAGAGTATCGCTTCCCTGAAGAACTCACTCAGACCTTCATGAGCTGCAATCTCATCACTGGAATGTTCCAGCGACTGGACAAGCTGAGGAAGAATGACTTCGCCAGTGTCATCCTCTTTGGAACCAACAATAGCAGCTCCATTTCTGGAGTCTGGGTCTTCCGAGGCCAGGAGCTTGCCTTTCCGCTGAGTCCAGATTGGCAGGTGGACTATAAGTCATACCCATGGTGGAAACTGGATCCTGCAGCCAGGAGACCCAGACGCTGGTTCGAGAGTACTTTTCCTGGGAGGGGGCCTTCCAGCATGTGGGCAAAGTCTTCAATCAGGGCAAGATCTTCAAGTGAACATCTCTTGCCATCGCCTAGCTGCCTGCACCTGCCCTTCAGGGAGATGGGGGTCATTAAAGGAAACTGAACATTGAACCCTTTCCTGTCCTGCCTCCTTTGT